TCCTGAGCCTTAAATGCAGCTTGGCATTAAAAATCCTTCCACTCGCCAAGACAGTACTTCTTAGCCTCTGCATACTCATATTTATTGCTTCAACTATTTAGCTACTTAATGGAACAGTCACAATTTACATTTCTCACTGCCTTATCAGCCAATAAGCTCCCACATTGCTCTAAACTCCCCTGAACTTTCTGCTTTGCTGGCAGAAATAGTGTGATTTTAGTCCCCAAACCTCCACATCCTAGCCCGAAACTGCGTCCCTCTTCACCATTGGAGAGGAGCAATTCCTGTTCCTCTTAATGAAGTTTCTCTTGTTTCGCTCCGTAGTTCTTGTTCCTCTTAATGAAGTTTCTCTTGTTTTGCTCCGTAATTCATACTCACTGAAGAAAAAATTCACCCCTAACCCTACCACTGAAGGAAAACCACTACTAATATCTGGGTTATTTCCCCACACACTTTCTTAAAGAATAAAGAAATCTTTATCTTACTAACAGGAATCCAGCTGACAGTTCCTAGGTGTGCTTGAAAGTTTAAATCCACTAGCACTTCAGATTGCTTCTAGCAATATTCAACTCACACAACTTATTTTTGTATATCAAATCTCTTCCAGAAGCAAGATTTTTCAATTTTATACAGAAAGGGAGAGTTCTCTTTAAAAGTTTGATCATGTGTTAATCACCTTTCCACGGGCTTTCCCGTGGAAATCACCTTTCCTGTACCCCACCCCCACACATCTCCAGCCTCAGTGGGTCAGCCCTGATCTCTTTATACCTCATTTCATGCTGCTTAGTCACTTTGGTCAATTTAAAGGACCACCATTGAAAAGCCAAGTCAAGGCAATTTTTGAACAACTCTCAACACACACTGTGCCTATTTTAGAAAGGCCTCATTTTTGTTATTATCATTTTTTTTAATGTGTCAGCTAATTTACAGCCTCTTAATGTAGGAGCACGTTTCAAATTAAATTCAGGGACGTTGAGAACTCAGATATTTTTTCCCTCCCACCATCTCTCAGCTCCCCACTCCTCCCCCTCCTTAACCTCAGAACCCTCAAGATGTTTACTAATTATTATTATTAGTTATGAATCAGTTTCTGCAAGTACTTCGTCAACTTGTCTGCCGGGCAAATGTCTCCCTCGCTCTGACTTGCTTTAGTCCACGTCATTTCCCGTCTGCACTGCTTCCATTTTGATGGAAATGGCTACATTTCATCGGTCCTTAAAGGCCAAGTAGTGTTCCAAGTGCGGCCTACCTCTTCTTGATCTAGAATGGTCTCTTTCTAAATGAAATTAACGCCTTTGTCTTCTAAATTTACACATATATTTAATAATTAAGAAGTGTTTGGGAGGCGCACAGGATAGCAAATAGCACACCTGCTTCCATCAGAAAACTCAACAGCAAATCCGTACAAATAGAACGTGCAATCGGCTTTCAGGGCAGGGGATGAGTGAAAAAAATGAAGATTTGTACTGAGCTGTGACGGCTAAGAGAAGAACCAGCAAGAAAAATACCCACAAAAATGAGACTGGAATTCGCCTTCAGTCACCATTTATTAGACTCCATGCCAGGGCTGGGTCTTGTGAGAGGCAGGGGGAGGAGGAAAGGACTAGAGGCCGCCGGGATGGGGGCTCAGAATTACCTTGGCAACAGGAAAAACTCCCCTGAGGAGATGCTTCTGAGCTTAATGTTGAGAGGAAGGACGATTCAAGCGTGGAGACCAGCAAGGTCAGAAGCGCACACACACCTACCGCGAGGTGACATTCGCAGACAGACAGACAGACACTGGGAGTGTGTCGGGGAGATGAGGGCACTGAGGAGCCGGAGTCAAACGCCAGGTCCTGGGTGCCACGCTGGTCAGTGTGCCCCCCTTAGCTTCACCCCTGAGACCAGATGCTACCAGAACATCTGTACCATGGGCACAAGTTTCCAGAATCGCACAGGCTGTTGAGAGATGAAGACAGGCCCTCCGTTGCCAGGCTCCATGCCCAACAGCAGGGACAGCGCATAAGGGCCAGACTGCGGCGTTTGAACGTCCAGAACACACCAGCCTCACATTCCTCATCAGAGGCAGAATGGCGGTGAGGGTCTCTCCATCTCCCGCTTTCGCAGAGCACACCAGTCTCTCCCACATGCACCCTCTTGAAAGAATGAAGTGGGAGGGAGGTCCCGCCTCATTCAAGCCGCTCTGGAGTCTGGCCTGCAGGAGGCAGCGTGAAGAGCCTAGGGTGGACACTTTGAGCTGAATCAAGGGGTCGACCCAAGAGCATCAGAGCCACGGCTATGGTCGCCACAGCCCCCACCCCCCGCTGCCTCCTCCCTTCAGCGTCAACCTCTCCAGACTGGGAGCTCAATCCAGAACCTCCCAGCCTGCCCCTGGAAGGAGCATCCAACCCAGATCTCCAGTTCCTCGTATCTGGGCTCCCTCCATGCCTGGCACACATGAACAGATCAATAAATAATGCTGGTGATAACAGTTGGAAGTCTGCTCCCGCTTCACACGTACCACCTCTCTGTTGTGCTTCTATCTAATCTCTGTGCTCTGACCAGGTCATTAATATCCCTGGGAACAGATCACAGGTGCGCAGCTGGCAGCCGACTGGGACGGGGTTACTGTCGTGCGCGCAGTCTATGCTGATTCTAAGCCACCAGTCACCGTAGTTGTGCGGACACACACCCTTTTCCAGCAGTGGTGCAACGCGAATGCATGCAGTTCACTCACTCATTCTCCAGGGTCCATCAGGACCATGCTGTGCAGCAGACCCTGAGCTAGGAGTTAAGGACACAGAAAGGAAGGCGACGCGATGAAGAGAGACACGTGTGGCAGAGGGACCAGGACACACGGATGGCGGGAGGCCCTGGAGCCCCGGAGGGGTAGCTTTGAGAACCACAGCTGAGCATCGCCTCTGAAGAGAAGCGAATGTGACCAAGTGTACTCACAAAGGTGTCCAATATACCCGAAGCACTAGGTTTCTTTTCCTCTGTTTCGACCACACAGGTGACAACGCATAGTGGTGGCTGACATTTATTAAAGCACCTACTGTGCGCCAGGTCCTGGGTGGTGTGAGCGCCAGTGAGCGTGTGGGAAAGGGGGAGGGGCCCTCCCATTTTCCTGGCTTTGCACATGGCAGGTTTCAATGCAAGATAAGCTACTCTGAGATGGAAAAGTTCAAAAGATAATTAAACCAGTTAAAAAGCAAAACAGCAGTGGGACCGGAGCCGGGTTTCAGAGCCAATTTCCAAGAAGTAATTTCATCATCATAGAACATCAAACGTGAATTCCATTTTCAGTTATGCAAATTCCAAAAGAATAATACCTCACATTTGCATAATGCTTGATGCTTTTCAAAGTGTTTTCCCAGTTATTAATCTAGAGGAGGCTTTATTACCACCGGAAACATAAATTGAAATTCTGTTCAAACTCGACTTCTCTGTTATTTTTTTCCACTGTTCCCTCCAACACCAGAGCCACCTCAACCCAGGTGCTTCTGATCGAGTGCGTAACTGTAGTGAGTTTAACTGATGGGGTGAATAGACACTCAGGAGCAGGTTGGGAAGTCTGCCGCCTGCAAACACAGGCCTTGGTCAAGCAGGCTTCGGAAAACCTCCCGTTGAAGCAACAAAAAGCACAGGAGACTAATCTCTGCTCAAATTCGGCATCTTTTCCTTTCTGGGGCCTCCAACTTCGCAGGTGGCACTGTGTGAGTTACAGTCACACCAGTCCTTTCTCCTCTGCCAGATATTCGAAATTAGGTATGATTCTGATGGAGGAAACAAATAGAAAGCCTGGAGCAGACATCACAAGATTAAAACCTGGCCCACACAAGGCGGTGGGAGTAGAGGGGGTTACCATGACCATTAATTCAGCTGTGGAACGCAAGACCCATGATGCCTTATCACACGGTGTAGGCCCAAGCAGGTACCAGACTGCTGTATCAGACTGCCGCAGGGAGCGTCAGAAGCACAGACCAGAGGTAAAGATACAGAGATTGGGCCCATTGTGAAATCTCAGGACCCTTTACGGTTCCACACAGTTATCCAAAACCAGCAGCCAACAGGCCCCTCCACAAAGGAGTGAGCCCTCCCCAAGAGTAAAGGACTCTGTCAGGGCATCTCTGCCCTGGTGCGGGGCCACAGTCCTCCGCCCATCTACAGGTGCTTCTTCCCACCCACTCTCTCCCTCTGCAGGGCAGCAGCCTCCTGCCTGCCCGTGACCTGACCTGAACCTGCGGTCACCTGCCGGGGCTTCTCTGCACTGGCGGAGGCCTCCATCAGCGGAGGCCGCTCTCCTCAGGGCCGCCCGCCAGCCACCACGCAGGTCTCTCTCTGCAAGCTGTCCCTTTCTGGGCCGGGCAGCTCTTCCTGCCGCTTGTGTCAATGCAAATGTCCTGTACTCCTCTGACCTTTTCCCTAATAAACCTGCTCTTTAAATATAACTAACCTCTCTGTCTCGTGGAGAAACTCGCCACATGCCGCGGAAAGGGGAGCTCTGGTGAAACCTTTCCCAGAGTGAACCCAAGGACCCCGCACTCCGCACCCACAGACTCCAAAATACATCAGTTCCACCAGCTTGTCCTTAAACCTGGAAACCCCCGTCCGTGACAGGCCGTATTGCCCAGAGCCTCTCCCTCTCCTGTTTCCAGTATAAGCCCAGCATGCAGAGAGGAGCTTAAGAAAACGAGGTGAGGAGATTGAGAAGACAGGGCGTGCAAGGCACTGGTCTACCCAGACCGTCCCAATCTGTTTCTCTCTCCATCTCTTTCAAACTTAATTATGAGCAGATTTCCCAGGCACTGAATCACCAGCCTTCCCTGACACCTCACTCTCCTGCATTTTAGCAAAAGATTAACCTGGCTGTTTGCTTTTCATTCTGAAGCTGTGTTAATACTCAACTCCCTCTAGATTAAAAAAGAAGGAAAACACACTCCCACCCACCCCACCCTGGCCCAGGGCTGAGCTTGCCCACTGCCCTGCCAGCCTCCTTGAGACAGCACAGGGGCACTTACCACTTCAGCAGCCCCAGGAGCACCACAGTCAGCGCCAGGGCCACCAGGCTCCCTTCGGGTTTGAGAACCCCCACTGCTTCCATTGTTCCTCAGAGCACCTGCCGGGGGCTTCTCCAGGGAGCAGAGGGAGGATGCGCCCCAGCCCTCACAGGACCCGAGACCCGGTGCTGGAAGAAGTAATAGGCCCCCAAGCCAGCATCACATCGTGTGGGTCCCCAAAATGTGCCCTTTCTCAGAGCGTCTCCTTATTTATAAAGAGGAAGGAAGAGGCGGCAAAGACAGAGGGCTTCTGTGTTGGCAGTGAATCAGCAACCTTACTTTCATGATGATTGTACCAGCAATAAACATTTACGCAAGCGTCCTGGGATGCAGAACTGGCCCCATTATTTGCTGAGAGAAAAAGTGGCTGCAACCCTGGATTTCTGCTGTGACAAGCAGTTCCTTTTCCGTTTTTTTTTTTCTACCTCTTTTTTCTCTCTCTCTTTTTTAACTTCATTCTTCATTTTGTGCATTTTTTTCTCTCTCTCTTTTTTAACTTCATTCTTCATTTTGTGCATTTTTTCATCATAGTTGTAATCCCCAGGGGCTTCCCACCACCACTTCACCTGTGTGCCATCACCACAGTCCAGTGCACTCTTCCCACCCCAGTTCCAGTCCCATCCCTTCTTCACTGTCTGGAAGTTTAGCCTAACCCCTCTTGACACCTTTGTTAGGTTTTGTGCTTAACTGCCAGACACTGCGAAGGACTCATTCGAGGGCCATTAGTCAGTGCATCACACCTTTAGTAACGGGAAGGGTGTGTCAGGGAGGCAAGTACTCATTCTGGTATCCGTCCATTCATTCAGCAGGTATGGGGCAGGCTTTGGGCCCAGTCCAGAAAAGTAGAACTAGACTCTGGAGACTTTTCTCTGGGGAGAGACAAGACCATAAACAGGTAGACAAATAAATAAGTAATTGCAGGTTGAGAACAGCGCTTTAAAGCACCACCTGACCTCGGCATTGGTGGGGAACAATGGGGTGACCAGATTTGAGACGGTGCAGGACATCTGATGAGGAAAAAAGCTTGAAGCTGAGTCTCCGTTTTAAGGGGATGAGGGGGGCCCATCATGAAGAGCCACGGGCAAAGCCTTCTGGGCAAAAGGGGTGACCTGGATAAAGGGGATAAGGTGGGAGAGACCTGGGCACATCTGGAGATTCAAAAGAGGCCAGCACTGCCAGCCCTTGGAGCAGTAAGGGGCACGTCCCCGGCAGGGAGGGGGAGACCCCAGAGGCTGACAGCACCCCAGCTGTATGAGAACCTTCATGGTATAGGCCAGTTGGGGGTTTGATATTGTGTTTGTTAGAGTCACCCCAGCTGGAGGTGAGGAACCCCCTGGAAGGAAGAAGAAAGCAGAGAGGCCTGAGGACAGCTGCCCGGTGCGCATGCTACATCAAGGAGGGCCAGACAGCAGGAAGCCTCGGTGGGTTGGATGTGAGAGGAAGGGGACGAAGGACACGTCTGGCCCCCAGAGTCCTGCCTTGAGCTCTTTACCGAGACTGGGGGAGGTCGAGGTCGGCGTGCTGGGAAAGTCAAGAGTCCGGTTTGGGTCCTTCCTGTGTGATTCACAAACACCCCAAGTGACGCGGAGACACCACACCCTTGCTGCACTCCGCTCAGCACCGACAACCCTCCGGGACAGTAGATACCCGAGATGGGGCGGAGGTCGGAGCTGGGAGACGTCACGACCCGCGCAGCAGCACAAGGGTCAGGGGACGTTGTCCTCTGACGTGCCACGCTGGGCCTCCCCAGAAGGGTTTTCCCAGCATGCAGGGCAGATGCAAAAGCACTAGGCCTTTTGTTTTCCCTGGACATTTTTTTTTTAACAATATATCTATTAAAAAGCTCTCTACAGAATGCTGCCGAAAATAGCCTGTAACCCCAACTCCCAGAGACAGCCGCTGTTAACACCTGCACCTGTAGCAGGTGAGCGCCTCCGCCTCCCTGTATCCGCTATGCACCTCCGGCGTGGCCTCTTGCGTTTTTATGAGGACAAGACCAGCGCATCCCGCCGCTCTCACCTGGCCTTTGTCCTTCCGGGTCAGGTAGGGCAGTACCCGTTACTTGCTACGTTGGACGCGAGAGTGGGCCTGGTCCCTCGGTGAGCCTGTCCTTACTGAATCACATCCACGTGGTTTCCAACCTCGGATGAGGCTGCAGGGAGCATCGGTCTGTGCGAGCAACCTGACCTTGTGGGAGGCGGCATTTTTTTTTTTTTTTTAAAAGATTTATGTATTTGTGCATACAGGACTGGGGGACAGGCCAGAGGCTCAAGGGCGGTGAGAGGCTTCACCAGAGACAGAGTGGGGAGCAGAACAGGCCGACTGAGGAGGCACACTGCTGAGGGGAGCAGCGGGCGGGTCAGGAGAGGTCTGCTGCGCCATGTGGGTCAGCTCCAGGGCGGGGGGTTGAACTCGTGCTGAAGCGGCTTTAGCTTCTTAGTGCTGTGTTGTAACCTGCCGCGGCACCAGGGAAGGTGACATTCTTAGATGTCAAAGTGTTGGGCCCAAAGGCGGCCTTTCAAAACGCCAGTAGGAGCTTCCCTCCATCAAGGTAATTTCGACTTTCTCCCTTGAGCTGTGTTCTGGGGTGCTCTTGTCCCCCACTTGGTAGACGCCCCACAGAACTTTCCCTCTGTCTCAGCCGGCTCCCAGGCTATCCTTTGTCTCCTACCTCCTGGCAGACACCTCCCCCAGAGTTGAGTCAACTGTTTTGACTCAAGTCTAGTGTTTCTTTTTAAAGCTTTCACTCCATAAATTCTGTGGCATTTCCTCCGTGGTCTCTGTGTTTAAAATCGGCCTTTGCAGATGTCGGAGTGGGGCCGTCCTCTGCCTCGGAAGGGTCCCAGCTGGCCTGCACCAGGCCTGGTGTCTGAGAGGCTGGACGCCTGGTGTCCACTGTCCACCACACAGGACCCCTGCTCACCAGCACCATTGAAATTGAACATCTGATAGAACCTCACTGCAGCGTCAGAACAGTCCTGCAGGGCATTGAGCAAGGCTTCCCTTCCCTCCTTCTGGGCGGAAGAACCTGGAGAAGAGGCTTTCGCTGTTCAGTCACACCTTCTGTAACTGCAGCAGGGCGGGCTCAAGTCAAAGGCCTTGGGCTTTACAGCCAGTGTTTTCTGCTAAGTCAAGATTCACATCTTGGCTTAAATTCCCAGCTCACCCAGGCAGCCCCTGCCTGGGAGGGAGTTTATCTTTGCGTTTCCCCTCTGGGACAAAGGTGGAGGCAGTTCAGGAAGATGGAGACCAGTGTGTCCCGTGGCCGCTTCCCGTTCCCGCAGAACACAGGAGGCCCCTCTCGGACGGATGGTGGAAACCCAGCGCCCTCGCCCCAATCACTCCCGTCGGCCTGGGACTCTCAGTACAGCTGAGAGCAGGTCAGACCAGAGGGCGCTCCCCTTCCTCGGTGCAGCAACATTTATTGAACAGCTGCCAGACAGAACCCCGGCATCTGGGACCCCGACCTAGCGGCCCAGGAGCTCAGTCGGTGCTGAGCTGCCCTGCCGGTGCAGCACAGGAGAGGATGGGGTGGGGGGTAGGAGGCTGGGAAGAGGTCTGAGCAACCGGCACTGAGCTTCCGCTGGACAGAGGACATCAGGCAGGCGAGTGCGGGACAGATGTGCTTGGCCAGGGGAGCACAGCACACGCCTGCTCGGAGGAACTGGAAGCGGTGAATGCTCGGAGGCCGGGCCCTGCAGATCGTGCCCAGCCACCCACGGGTTCATATTTTATTCTGGGAACCGGGGGCAGCCGTTGTGTCGGGCAGCACCACACTGATAAAGAGACGCGAGTCGTGGAGCAGGCTACGTCGTGCCCAGTGCTGCTGAAGAGTGAGCTCCTGGCCTTTTCACCAGTCATCTAGCATCAGTCATAGGAGGAAGCAGAAAAGGAGATGGGGAAGGAGCAGAAGCAGGAGAAGGGTGGCCTGGACTTCCCGTCTGCTGATAGCTTGGTGTGTAGTTCAAGCCCTGACTCCCCAGTCAGGATTTCCCTATTATCAATAAGGCTCCAGTGAGCAGCTCCTGGGGTCCTTCGTTATACATCCGTCAGCGGCCCCCCGGGCGTTCCCGGTCCCACCTTGTGATGCACCCCCTTCCCAGAGTATCCAGCTTTGTGCTCGCTCTCGATGTGAAAGGCGCCTCGTAGGGTTGCGCTCCTATGAGCCGGCAGTTCTGGCCTGGCTTTGGGATGCGGAGCTGCAGGTAACAGCGTGGAGGCTGGACAGGCCACCGAGGGTTAGCAGACCCACAGGAAGCAGCGACACCATTACATTTGCTTGGTGAACTACCCCCTCAGTAGTTCGACTGGAGGGGTTTCACCTGGCCGGGAGACCAGGGAAGGGACCACTGAGCAGAAACGTGAGAGGCCTGGAGGTGGGGAGGAGATTGCTGGGGGGGCAGTCGCTGTGATTCGGGGGGTGCCTCATGGGTACAGAGGTACACGGGACTTCTGGGGAGGGCAGCAGGGGAATCTGAATTGGTGGCGTTTTCATTTCAAGACCTGTCTCGTGTGGATGGGGCGAAGCCATGAGGCTGAAGTGGTCCCCGAAAACCAGCAGCGGAGGGTTGAGTGTGAGCCAGGGGACAAGGAGGAAGGGCGCCTGGCCGCTGAGGGCAGAGCAGGGAGAGGCGAGGAGGAGGCGGCTAGCGAGCACCCGGAAGGCAGCGGGGTGCGCCCTGGCAGCTTTCTGTTTTCAGGTTCAGATCCGACCACCACGGCGTTCTGCTCTGGAAGGTCTTGGGAAGCCACTGAGCCTCTCGGAGTCCCGGTCTCTCCTCTGTCTAGCGGGACAATTGCATACACCCCACAGCGCGCCTTTGACGAGAACAAGGTGCCCAGGAGAGAGCTCGGTCGCTCGTGGGCGGTGACATCACCAAAGGCACAGGAGCCCCATGTGGAGACCCGGGCAGGAAGACCCAGAGAGGGGTTAGCCAAACAGCTGTGGGTTTGGAGGTGCCATCATTGCAGCACCCCCAGAATGACTGGTGATGCCTTGGAGGCAAAGAAACAAGAGAGCGGAGCGCTGGACCGGGCCGTCGCC